CGAACTTCAGTGGCCATCCTGCGCGGGCCCGTCGCCCAAGACGCTTCCCGCATCGTACTGACGATTCGTTCGATTCCGCTCGTCCGGGGATGCAGAGCTCAAGTCCCTTGCCGACTTCGCTTTTGATCACTAGCGCTAGTTGATAGAAAATCCACGGGGTTCGAACTGACCCAAAGAATGGTATATCGTGGACGTTGGCATCGTAGTATACCCACGCGGCATCCCGGTACGTTCCTTCACATCCAGAATGTCACAAAGCCTCGAGCACATGCATGGGACCCCCACAAGACGCGATTTCGCGTTCTCTCGCCCTTAAAGCATAGAAATACATTGAGGAGAAACCAAGATGTGGATGGAGATGAAGTGAATCGGGAAGAGAAAGGAGAAGTGTTCATTAGAGAGACGCCGATGATTTTCACGAGAAATCTTCGAGACTATATCTGGCGCCTCGTGACACGGAAAGTTTGGGATAATTGACAGGTCAGCTCTGAAGTGATGACGCGATCGACACGAACTCTGATTTAGATAACATGCTAGAGGAACGAACGAGGAAAAATATTTTCTTCCCCGTCCATTTTTTCGAAACGGCGAAAACTTGAGATGTGTCGGCTAAAGGGAGCTGCGATTCACGACAACGATAGGGGTCACCCGGTGATGCTTTCGTCCCAGCTTCCTTTCGCTACTTGGTCATTTCTCCGAGAGGGAGAACGGGGTCAAACGCGCAGATCGTCGACATCGTCGTCGTCTTCATCAACTTCATCTCCAGAAAATACGTTCACGGTCACCTCCCGGATAGTCGCCGTCGCCTTTGAACGACTTGCCTGAAACTCGTATCGAGGTCCGTATTCGAAGAGCAATGCGGCCTGTGTGACACTTATGGGGGTTCTTCATGTTTGTACCTACGTCGACTTGAGGCCGGCGAGCAATCCGGTCTTGTGAGATGTTTCTCGACACCGTCACCAGATGTCTAGCTGCATATCTACTTTTTGATCCTACCAGCTGCAGGAAATCCAATATGAGTCGTGTCGATCGAAGATCATTCACGGACTATGAGTGGTTCCCGTCCCGGAGAGCTAGATGAATACCATCCCCATGAGTAGCTGGGTGCTGCAGAGATTCCCATCGGAGCATTGATTCAAGGGGCCTGGAAAACAGGCGATAAGGAAATATATATTCCACGAACAAGGGTTTTTCGACGACAGAGAAGCTAAGCGAGACATACTTTCGCGAAACTTCTCGCAGCAGTTCGCGGAAGCTCCGAAGGAGATTCGAAGCCAGATTTTTCCGAGCTTCCTCCCGAATACTTGAGAGAAGCGGTCGCCTATTCCTTCTTCTGATGCCTTAGGGCAGTTGCTGCAAGCGACGTCTTGATCGTTCAGTCCTCGTTCCCTTTCTTTAATTAAGCCGTATCTGACTCAGCTGGGAGAGCGCACACATGGCTCTCAGAGCGATGCGAACGCATCGCTGCAATACCAGCTGACCATTCCCGCAGCAGAAAGACGACAGCGAAGCTCGCCTCATTCGGCCACCACTCGCTGTTTCGGGCCATCCATGGGAAATGGTGGGAGATCAGAAAAGATTCTGCGGTACGACGATACGCAGTGGATGCTGGATCCGGGATGAAGTTTCCTTTACGGGAGCCGACACCGATGAGTACCTCGGCTCGAGATGTGTTCTCCTGAGAGCCGGCCGCAGCTTTTGGAATTCATCGCCTACGTAGGTGGATCAGATCAACACGATTGCGAAAGCCGGGACTTTCAAGAATACGCGCCATTCGATATTCGGCGAGAGACGAAGGCTAGAATGAAATGTGTTTTGCTCGGACTAGCTCTTGTGAATGAAAGCAGCATTCTCCCCGCTGCTGCTGGCGCACTGCTGTTTGGGTCCCATCAAGCCCAACCGTGGATCAGGCGATCAGAAACAGGGAGAGCTCTTAAAAGGTATCGATCGCATTTGAGAGCTTCCTGAGCGGATGGCCGCCCGCCCGTGCCCACTGTTGTTCATGAATTGAAGACGGGATAACACACCACTAAATTGTGACGGGCCCACCGGCGAGCTTGTGCAGCTACAAATCGCTCGGTCAAGCTTGTTCCCCATGTTGCTGATTCGTTCTTGATAAGAATTGTCCGGGCTTCCATTATGAGGACTCGCATTCGTTCATCGAATTTTGCGCGGGAGGGCGAGAATGTTCGAGCTTCTTCAACTGCACTGAAGTGAATACGAGCCCGAAGGCTCTCGTGAGCAATTTTTAGCTTCCTCAATCGCTCGGCGAACAAAAGCCCGAATCGTTCCTACCGCTGAATATCGAGCGATACGATCCTCAGGAGTTTTACTGCGGAATCAATTTCAGTGATCATTTTCTTCAGTATCCAGCCAAAGGATATCTGAGGCGCTAATCTTGCTTGAAATGATTCATTGGAGCGGCGAATTACATCTGATCGATTTTAAATAGGTCCCGAAAGCGAGGCTGTAAATCGTTGAGACTGATCATGGGCTAGGTGATTTCCCATCGAATGAGGGTGTTCAGATCCTGACGACGGGATGTAAAGGAGACGATCAATGCCAGGTTCCGACCAAAACGATCGGAGAACCCTTCCTGATGGAGATAATATCACATCAAGGGCTCCGCTTAACTCGGCGCGTGAGGACGGGATGTCCTCACGAGGAAACCCCGGTTTCTTCTCGCGGGTAACTCCAATCGGATGCCCGATGGAAAACATGATGTAAGAACAGACGAAGAAATGTTACATTGCCTAGAAAAATGCATTCAAAACATCACTGGTGGACGAATGGGATTTGTTGGGTCTTCAAACTCATCATCATATCCATTACCGGACTGCATGTCTGTTCCGAGCCTAATGAATAAGCTCCTCCGACGGACGGAGAGGAATCAAATGTACGGAACGGATGTGGAGGAGTTGAAGGGAATCTTCTCAGCAGCCCTGAGTGGGCTCATTCGGTCAAGTCCGCATTGTATCTCTCTCCCCTTCGACGTCCGTGGTCTCCGGGATGATATCGAACCCATCGATTGGGCGGGAGATGCTTTGATAGCCATGGCGGAACATATTGAAACGAGAAAAACTGCTAGACATCTGAGAATGATTGATGGAGCCTGTGAGTGAGTTCGCATCTGCATCTTCTCGCGAGATTCGAATGGCTGCCCCTGGAACTTGTGTAAGATTCATGCATCAAGGAGGAATGATGCCGCCTTAGCAACAAGTCTCCATGCGCGGTGTTCTCGAATGAAAATTCTCGCTACAGGGGACTCATGAGCGCTTCCGCCTGGTGGGTGAAGAAGGTCGGCGGCGTACGCTGTGCCGCTCTCGCCAGGTACTCTGCTCCTCGTCGTCGTCATCGTCGTGGGATGGGATTGTAAGTGGGTGGGAGAGACTTACAATGGAATACTTCGTGCACATTTTCATTTGTTCTCTTGGCAGACTAGCGCAAATTGAACCCTGCGATGTGGGCACGGGAGATGGAACAGTAGATTCGGATAGAACTCTGTTCCCATTCGAAAACACGCGGACGAGATTGGAAAAAGGCGGTAATTCACGATACAAACCGAAACGAAATCGACCGAACACCTAAAGTGAGGTGGAGCGCTCATCCGAGCGCCTTGAGCTCAACGCTCGCGCTCCAGCTAAACGATGTAGGGTAAACACCGATTTGAACTTTTGTCGAATTTTCGAAACTGCTCCCCGCAGAATCTCTCAACCTTGCAAACATCCGAGAACATCCCTCGCGTGACCTGGACTACGGAGCAAAATGCACAAGTGGCTCAAAATAGTTTCGCACCTTCCCACAAAATGTGATGTTGATGATGTACATTAAGCCAAATGGCGAGTGAGGAAGCGCCTCGAAACTTCCGTGAGCCGATGTGGTTAGCAGCTGAAGACTCTCCGAGTGAGTGTGTGTGTGTGTGCATTCGTCTGTCGCTTAGGAGCGACCCTTTTCCACTTTTACACGGCGGATAATTAATTTAGGCTCCTCTGGGAGCTGATTCTTCGCTATCCGTGCCTCCAATCTCAGAGCTGCGATCGGAGGGCGTCGGAGTCTCGGCAATAGGCGCGCTTGTTGGAATTTCGCGTGGCGGGCCAACGGAATGAATAAGCGGTTGAAGGTGTCGACCGACGTTTTTTCAGTCGACATTACTCGAATGCGACCGGCTGAGGCTCCTGTGGGAGAGAGAGGGTCGTATGTCCCTTGAAACTGTCTGACGGGAAGGAAAACCTCGTCTAAAAAACTAAAGCGAGTGGTTGATATTCGGGCTCGCTGTATCACTCTTGGAGAATTATTCGAACGGAATAATAATGAGTCACACCCTTTGAATACGTACGGTCGCTGCTGCAGTGCGCAAAAACTGCTTTCGAGTTTCTGAATGCCATCGGAATAGTCAATTTTTTCTCGAAAACTGCCCGGGTCGAATCTTCCTCTCTCCATGTGCTCGACGACCGTCATGTTATTTGTCTCAGCTCCGACTCGGACGATTTCTTTCCATTGGAGCTTTTTATGCCTAACATGTCCTCGATGTCTCTCCCGTGAGCGGAGGGCTGTCAGTGAAATCTATAGCGGAACCGCCCTGGAGTCTGATTCCGTTTTATCTCTTCCAGGTATCCAACATGTGAACCACATCCGTCCCTCGGAACTCGACGCCACCACCAAAAGTATCCGCCGGTGCGGGCGCTCGGTGAGTAAACGGTTGCTATTATAATCAACGATCTGCTCCCTTTACTCATCGCTCAAAATTTCCAATCGGGTACCCGAAAGTGGCGGCGTAGCAGTTTCCGCCGTATAAGATTCTTCTTGGACGTGAAAAATTGATATGATGGTTGCCTGTCCTGTATGTGCATGATGAAGCTTCGAATATCCTGGCGATGAATCTGATATCAGGAAATGCTCCTCGTCTCAGCGAGAATCGTCACTCGTCTATGTCTTCGACGACGACCTTGCTATCAGCCGCTGATCCGACGACTGCCGCTGCCGTGGACGGAAAGGCCAATATGAAGAAGCAATCATTCTACGTGTGGTTCTTGGGAGCCCAAGAGGCTCGTGGAGCCCAAGATGACCGCTTTGTTCGTCCAGTGCTCAAGTACCTACTGGATCGAGAGAAAGAACTCGAACCTACGAAAGTGACGCTACAGGTAAGAACGGAGAGCCGTTTGCTCGACTCTTCTATCTGCGAAGTCTTGGGTCAAGTCCACATTGTATCATCATTCGGCTCGTCTATTCTGTACGACATCGCGGGAATATTCCGGGATTCCCCCTTCCCCCGCCCCCATACGGGAAGAGTCTAGAATTGTGTGTCTTCAGAGCCTGCCAGTCATAGGATACACTCCAAGACGTCGCCGACTCAGGCTGGAGAAATTCTCTTGTTCCCGTAACACCCACGACTCACGCTTCATGTGCCGCTTGTTGCATTGGCAAATGATTCATATATCTGTCCGATTCGGACGCGAGCCGTGCCGAACTTGCTTTCGGGGATCCAGCGAGCCCATAGATGCGGCTCTAGACGTGTGTCCTCGGGCTCACAAGATGTACAGAACAAAACCCCCGGCGCACCTGCCTCCAGAGCCCGGTCCTTTGTGGAGGATCACGGCTAGAATCTTGATTTCGATAACTCCAGAAACTATCACCTGCAGGTGAGCTGCAAAGGACTGAAAATCGTTCAGAACATCATCCGCTCCAAGACTTCGAAAAAAGATCAGGTGAGCAAATTTTATGGCGAGCTCGTCTGGAATTGAATTTTCATTGAGGTTTGCGATGCTCACGTTGTTTGAATATTTCGCAATGAAATACGATCTGATCGAGTCACAACCTCAAATACGGTCTGAATTCACCTCTCCACCCAAAATGTGGGACGATTCATCAGGAGTTGCTTTTCAACAATAAAACAGATTATGATTCGTAGATGAAACACCTGATCCCGCCGCACTCCGTTGCATGGGTGATGCGGGCAGAGCCTCCTCATGAAGACATTGTCTGTTGCACCCTGCTCATCCAGAATCCTGTTACGAAATGTCCCGTGCATATTCATGCTTATCGGTGGGTAGTCGTTGAGCCCATCCGCTAGGTGCAATCAATGCTTAGCATGTCACCATAACACGATGAGATGCTGACTGTGTTTGAAATAAAGTCCGGTTTCTTCCCGGGACAGATGTGATTCAGTGGAAACCGCACGTTCACTTCGGTACCAGCTGACACAACTGATGGCTGAAGCTCAGAAAAGTTCTGAGTTAAAGAATCTGTCAAGTACGGATGTTCTCCAGTCTGGATTCTCTCCACATGGGTTACGACCGCCCCGTGTGTCCAATCCGACCAATGGATCTTGCCAGAGACGCATCGGTTCCGATGGGAGGAGCACACGCACAGACGAAGAAGATCCTGACTTCGAAGGAGACGCCGAGGATGAAATCTCGAGAAAGTACGAACAGAGGTCTCAGGCCATGAGCCATGGACCAGACCATGTTGTAATCGACTCCAACCTCATGGAACATAAATGAGACAGATTATTTTACAGCGACGAAGACTACGGTGGCTCGGCTGAGAACGTGTTCAATATAGCCCGTTCGATGCGCGGACTATCGACGGCAGAAATCCGCGAAAAATCAGCGCGTTTGCATGAGGAGCCCGATAATTTCGCAGTGACGCCCCCGCCGGATTCTCGTGTGGTCCGCCTGTACGACTCTCTCGCGCAGGAACTGAAAGCGAAATTAGCCGGGACGAATCATGGCCTGCAAACTAAAACTCAAAAACCTCCGCTCCTCCTGCCCCCGAAAGACTATGACACAGTTTGTCGCAAGCAAGGCAATTTGTTGGGCATAGACTTCCGGTGAGTACCCGGCCCTTAATCCCAGTATAGTTTCCACCAATGATTCGGTTCTGACGACGCTCATCGCGGGGAAACCCCTTCCATCCCGGTTGAGAGCCATCTTCATGTTTCCCTTGATTGCGAACCTAGGCGATCGACTAATCAAAACATTGTTGGACGTACGAACCCTTCCGACGAGTCTGCTCAATCTGCTGACGAGTCTGCGCTGCCAAAGACGGACCATGAAGGAAAATTCCCGACCGTAGCGTCGCCCCAGCGTAAGTCAGGCTCCCTCGCTCAGGGCAAAGAGATGATACAATAGATACGTTTATGGTCCGGACAATTTCTCAGTGATCGAGAGGCGATCCGTTCTCGCGCAAAGCATCCCCTGCAGAGAATTTCGAGCAATGAATCGACTCTCGTTGGGACGAGAGCTTCTTGCCTACGGATTCGTCCCGGCCGATGCAGGGTGAATGTTTCGATGACCGCTGTCGATGTCTTCCAGGCAAGAGCTCGTCCGGGGTGGGATCGGAGGAAATTCCATTCGCGTCCCGCAGCTCGAAACATCACTTGGACCAAGAGGCTACGGTCGAGACCTCAGACGACGAATGGAATTACAGGTGATGATTGTTTTCATTCTGCATTCAGTATCCAGGTGTGTCCCGACGGTGGCTCCATCGCTCGTAATGCTAATGTTCCGGCGCGATATTCAGAGCGGCGGAGCGATATGGAATTCACCCCGATGGAAAACAGAGAACACGTCACAGATCCATGGATTTCCTCCAGCAACGCTTGGATCACTTCCATATGGGTGAAACAGTGAGTATTCACCGAAGATCGAAACTCTTAGAATGTTCGAGAGTGAAAGAGGTAAACGATCGTAGAGTCGGACCGAGGCCAATTTCGCCGCTGAGAACGATTCGATTCAAGTGGATTCGATTCTGCAGAGACGCACAACCTCATCTCAAGCCGAGAAACACCGAGAAGAAACGTCCACTTCGCTGGAGCCGAGGTCCCACTCGAAACCTACTTCGCATGCATCTGCATCAATGACCTATTTCGGACAACATGGACCACAGCCATTGCGGTCATTGGGTAATAGCAATTATCACGATGTCGCTGTCCCCCAAAATCTACCTCAGCCCGCATCCTACGTGGGATCGGGCTCAAGCTCTCTCCAATTGGTAACTGAAGTGAAGAAAGGAGGTGAAGCGGGCCGCACCGCTAGAGCCCACGAGAGACCCATCTCATTCCCGACTGGTGTGATACCAGTGAGACGAGACATACCGCTGACCCAGGTGCCAACACGCTCCGGGTAAGGAAATTCAGAGCTCTCGATGTGAAATAGCGGAGAGTAAGCTTCGATAGATTCGTTGTTCATCAATTTTACGCCCTACGAGGACCGTTGGAAACCCAGTCATTCTGACAGTTTCTCGCGGGCGATGACGCGACGGTCTTGCGTCGCACGGAAATCGTCGACGACAGATTTATGTATGACACGGCCGCTTCTTTCGGATTCTGCTCGGAAACATTCGAGGTGTTTTATTCTCCTCCATTTTCCTCCGCATATGCTACGCCCAAAATAGACAGGGACATTGAGGAAAAGTTTTGTCCACGGAACCGGGCGAGCAGACTTCCCTCGGGCTAGTTGCTAACACAAAACCGATTCTTGAGACAATTCGATCGAACTATGCCTTCGGGTCCGCGCTCGCTGTGTATCGGAACATTTCTAATTCATGCAAAAATAGGGAATCGCAATGAAGGGAGTTTCGGGCACCTTAGCGGGATTGCCGTCTGAATATAAAAAGAGTTCTCGATGAGAAATCTATGAATAACGCGGCATACGCCCTGATATTTTCAACATTACTCTCAGCATTCTGACGTGGGGTATAGACTAGGAAACGATACGCATTCGACGCCGATCAATTGTATGTGCCGTCCAGAGGTTTGTTGTCCATCTGGGTTTCTTTGTTTCCCAGATGTTCACCCTTATCCATGCTCAAGCAGCCGGCTCCACCGCCGAATCCGTAACCTTTCGGTCCGAATTTCCTCCCATAGCACTGCTTACAGAAAATGTCTCCGCCGTGGTCTCCAACATTCGTCGAGTCTAGCCTAGAACGATTAGAAGTTTTGATTGCTTGGCGTTCCGAAAAGCTTCATCATCGAAAGGCAGAGACTCCCGGAATCGAGTCGAGACTTACTTCTTGTTGCACAGTCCGCATTTGAAACACGACTTGTGGAACTTCGCACCTGCTGCCAGCATCTCTTCGGCCGCATAGACATTTTTGTGGCACTTGGGACAGGGGAATTTCTGCGTTGGTCCGAAAGGCATTTTGAAATTCGCTGCCGACAGAACGCGGATATTTAGCGGGGGAAGTCAGTTAAGTTCAGGCATCAGTACGATTTGCCGCAGAATTTCAGGAAACGAGTGCTACCGCGCACAGATTGCATCCAGATCTCTCTGTAGCAGGCCGACAAGGAAAACGCCGTCGTTTCTTACTTACAGGCAGGAAAGGCGCACTAGAAAGAAGGGCGGCAACTGGCGACTAAGCTTGGTGCCCTACCGCCGACTAGGGTCTGGCTACTAATGCAGCAATTCTCTCCTGGAGGAAGGAAGGCTCTTCGTAACAGTATTGAAAAAGCTCAGCCCTTCCATCGGACGGGCATAAGCTTTCCGAGTAACCCGAAAGGTTGCTTGTCCCCTGCCGGCCTGGCTCTCGACTCGCTCAGAGTCGAGGGACTACAAAGAGTCGATTTGGCTAACCGCCGCGGGTTTCATATAAGGATGACCACAACACGAGATCGAATTGGTCGTTCTCGATTTCGTCAAATGAATCTTCGCCGAGCCTAGCGATTTCCGTAGACACGAAGGGTGATGTGTGAATAATGGAATCTCGCGTTGCTCATGATCCGGAGACGAATCCGCTCTCCCAATCAGAGCTTCCTTGCGAGCAAGATCTGATCGGTGTCCGCTGTCGTCATACCGAATGCCTGACCAAGCAGCGCGCTTCTCCCGAAGGCATTGGGCCCACCATGTTTTTTGGCTTCGCTAGCTCAGACAAGAGCTGTACGCTTCAAGCAAGAATCTCGGATGACTTTTCTTTCTCAGTCTTGTCTTCGACCTCCGTGGTCTTTTACGAGGAGCTCGTTGGAATCTCCGAGACCTCGAATTCTCGAGCTACACCTCATGGGTCCGCCGCTTTCTTTCCCCACAGGCTCAGCGAATTCAATCGTTCATTTAACGAGTGTGTATCTCCTTCCGTAGCAGATTCCATCAGCATCCGATGAAGGAATCGATCATAGAGCCTGTAATCAATCAGCAGCACAAGAGACGTCTTGGTCCGGGAACGCGAGTCCCGTTCGAACAATCGTTGCTGCTCCTCCCGCCCCGGAAGCCCGTTCTTGAGAGAGATCCCATCGAGCCTAAAGCACCGCACCTTGCACAAAGACTGCGTTCTCCGACGAATGTGATGGGCTTCTCCCCGGAGAATATCAAACCGCGTTGTGAAAGGTAAAGTGATATTCAACCGGACGATGTCGGAGTACCGAGGTAGCGTTTTCTCGCCACTTCACCCATTTCTCATAATTCTGAGCATCTGCTCCAGACAACCGGACTACAGGCGACAGTCACTCGCTGAGTTTGGGGAAGGACCAACGTCTCACATCAGACGGAATCCATTGGCCAAATACCTCAGCAGCTCTCTCGAAAGACGAGCATACGGCAGCCGTTACAGCGTAGCGGAGTCCCATGGTCATAGACTATACTGATACGATGTGAGTTATAATGATTGTTGCGCGTGATATCCATCGCCCCCATGTTCTCTCTTGTTTCATCTATGTGAACACGCTTCCTCTTATGTTCAATTTGTTCGAGTAATTTTCCGGAATCCTGTCTTCCGAGGAGTTGTCCGAAGAACGGAAATCGTAGATCGAATGATGGGCCGTTTTTTACAGGCTCTGACGTTCATTTCTTCGTGGTCCTGTTGATCCGCTCTCGGAGCAATGCTCTTCCCAACACATACCGACGCCAGAGAAGAGCCTTCGCATTTGATCTTGAGGCGATGAGCATGCTCTCATCACTTGTGCCATCGAATTGCGCACTGTATATCTGGAATCTTTCGGCTGTGTCTCGATCCTCCGCTGATCGAGATGACCAGCTTCTTGCCTCAATCTTTCCGAATTGTCTCAGGAGCATTTGAATTCTGTGATATAGTTCGCTGGTTATGTAAGATCGAGGAGCTGTCCAGCGGTGTCTCGCCTGGATGCAACTAAACTCAGTTTATCCTTGGAAACTAGTGAATTAATAGTTGTAGTCGAATCCATGAGTGAGACTGTCCGATGAATGGAAACCGCACCTATGCCGTCAAAGCAGTGAGTGGTACAATGGATCAACCGTATCACTTTTCTGCGTGCCCTTCGGAAATAATGGCTCGACTCCGTAGAACCAGCAAACCAGAGCATCATGAGTCACTGGACCATATAGTCCGGAAAAATGCTCCGATCATCTAGTTCAACTCCTTGTGAGTCCGCACATGGTGCCTTGGATCGGCCCGACTCGCCAATAATAAATCTCGTGTTAATCCTGGATCAGCGGCTCTTGATTTACGTCTCTTGGCACTCCTTGATTTTTAGCTTTTTAATGTTCTCAAGGGAATTTTAAGCAAGTCGGACAATCCCGACGGCACCTCCCAGCCCCAGCTGGGCCTCACCTCACAGGAATTATGATGTTCCGTGTTAGTCGATAATGATTAGTCTGGAAGAGCGGCATAGCTCGGCGATGCGGCGCGCGGCGCGTACCACGGGATCGTTACGCTTATTCGGCTCGATCCCTTGACTTTCCGCCGAAGATCTTCGTCTTTCAGAGCTCCATTTCGGAAAGAACAGCTCCCAGTCCACACAACGGCGCAAACTGGCGTTTTATCGGAAATTTTCATGATGTCACTCCCGAGAGCGGTAGGGATGTTGGCCCCGTTAGCTACGCCTTTCGCCTGTAGCTCGGGTCAAGAATCAAGGAAACAAACCGTGTCTCCAATTTTTCCGAAGGAGAATCCGGGGCTCATCCCGTCGACGACCTATGAAAGTATCGGTGATTCTCTCGGTGAGCATTCACGGGCAATTGATCGATCCCGCCTCCCCGATGACACAATGTGCAGGTTGATTCTACCGTTCCAAAATGAGAGGATAGGTGATTCAATGAAACCAACTCTGAATCCCAAGTCTGATCCACCGTTCCCAACTTATTCGATCCCGCAACGCAGATCTGACTTCATTCATTGGTAGGTGATGCGCTGAGACTCTCTGCTGCTGAGCGGCTCTCGAGCTCAGAGTTGTGGTTTCCCTTGAAATATCCATACGATATGATCCAATGGGAGACTCCGTGGAGAGATCAGAGGGAGGGAGCCATCAATGAAGAAATGTCAAGCATGAGACCTAGTCATTCCGTGTGGACCAGGGAGGAGCACAACGCTCTTGCCATGCAGTTTGTAATTCATACCGACGGGAATATCCGCGCTGCGATCGCCATGGGGCAATAAGCAAGGCACGCGCTGCGTCTTGCGAAACTCTGCTTGGAATATGGCACTCGGGAAGCGAAAAAGCGCGCCAAGATGCTTTCTCTGCGGAGGAAGTAATTTCCACGCATCACAATCTCCATCATCACATTTGCAAGTCTCAGTGACGACAATCAACGAATGGTATCGGTGCCTATGGCATGCATCGTCTGATGAATTAGGTCAGAGCTTCTTAACCTGGGTTCCGCGGAACCCTAGGTTTCCGCGAGCCCCTGCTCGGCTGCTCAGACTTTTATTCATTTTATCGAGTTGGAATGAATTTTCTAAGCTCTAATGCATGCAGGATACTTCATGCGATCGTGGTCGAAGGTCTTGAGGTGATTGAGGGGAAAATTTGGAAAGATAGAGTCCGAAGCCAGTAATAAGGTTTCCCTGGTGGGGTTCCGCGGGGTAAAAAAGGTTAAGAACCCCTGCATTAGGTATCTCGTGTCCACGTAGCACCCAGAGATAACTCGACACCGACAGAAAGCTAATACCCTTCCCGACCACTCTGACGAAAGCATCGATAAGGGCGCACCATTTGTGATCCACGGCACAACACCTCGAGATGCTATTCCTGATCAAAGACTCATTCTTCCGGGGAAAAGGCGTTGCGCTCCGTAAGTCTGATACGGTCCATGACCCGGATCGGAACGCGGGAGAATATTCGGAGGAACCCTGCTTCACTGGAGGAGCGGGTTTCGCTCCGAAGGTAAGACTCTGTTGCAAGAATAGTTGATGACTTCAGAAACTCGCGGAGCTCTCAGCTACATATCAAATGAGATTTCCCCGATTGTGGGACGAATAGCTCGCGGGTGTAAGGATTCTGCGAGTGCACTAGAGACCGAAAAATTGTGGAGCACAAGCCCGAGTTTATTGCAGGATTCTCCTACCCTTAATTTGGGCCTGGTTTCGCACCCGAAGACACTCAGAATGAATAACGTTGATTCTCGCTTGATCCATCATCAGTATGACCGTGCTCCGCATGCTATTCTAATGTGGAGAATGACGGGAAAATATATGTAGGTCCACAGAATCTACGGTGTTACTGAGGTATGTTGTTGACCTGACGAGCGCCGCATGAGAGCGTTTCTACCAATCCAAATTGACTACGATCCCCTCTTTAGCGGATTTCTCGCAGGCAGAAGCAATCCTTGTCACAGCGAGAACATCCTCTTGGAGAACTTCTTCTTTGGCGTTACCCACCACTAGATCCAGGAAATATTGCAATTCAATTTGATAGGATTCTTGGTATCTGAAAAGGAACAGAATTACTCCCCCTGAACGATCGCGGAATTTTACGAAGTTCTTGCAGATCGGCACATGCGTTGTAGTCGTATGGAATTTTCGCATGCCCACCTCGAAGGGAATGAGTAAAGAATCGGATCCTGCTTCGTAGCATTGTAAGTCTGCTGCTGAATACCATTGGGTCGATTATTCAGGTTCTCCAACATACCCTTGCTACCGAACACCTGGAAGGATCCTTTGTGTATGTTCTGACCTATTGGAGGGTCGCGAAAAGGCAAAACATAGGCAGGAAAATTCCATTTCACTGACCTCACAACGCTGATCGTATCCATAGCAGGCGTTCCTGCTCAGATCAATCAGGGCCAGTTTTCCCGACGCGAATTGGAAACTTATTGTGACCGTATCGAAATCGCGACCCTCGAGTTCTTTCAGAGGCGGGGAGAGCAACGACCCGAACACCTGGGAGCGAATTTTCGATTCAGAAGGTCCGATACACTATGTATACTAGTGCTGAGTCCAATCAGAAGATGAAAGCCCATACTCACTTGGACCCGTATTGGTTTCTCCCCCATCAGCCAGCAGACGGCGTCGATGTCATGAACTGCACAGTCATGGAAAATCCCTCCAGACGAGCGTAGATACTCGATGCTTGGAATAGGAGAATCTCTGCTCGTCGTTTTAATCAGATAGACGTCACCGAGTTCGCCTTTGAGCACCTTATTCTTGATACTCCTCAAGCCGGGATCATATCTGCAAACGATTGAATGGAAGGCTCACGGAACCTTTAAAGCAAATCAACAAGATCGTTCCGGAATCGCAACCTGACCGGCGGCGGCGGCGGGCATTACCTTCTGTTGAAGGCACAGAATAATTTCACGTTGTGGGCCTTCGCGGTATTGTAACATTCTCGAACATCCTCATTCGTCTCTGCAACCGGTTTCTCACAGAAGACATGTTTCCCTGACGATAAAAGAGAAGAGAAGTGAACAATAGGTCGCTCCTTTTAAAATTGCGATGTCCCGATGCTGATTTGAGGGCTCGACACACTGGAGCCCGTAATCCTATGTTCCTTCCGGGGAGCTTCCGAACCCGCGGAAACTATTTTCCAGCGAAGCGTTGCAACATCGATTCCTACCATAGGTCCCCATTGCTTCCTATACTTATCTAACTGATTGATTATCTATAATCATTCTTACCCGTCTCAATGGATTCTTAGAGGAAAAATACTCACCGGCAGCCAAGGCTTTGCATACAATGTCCTTGTGCGAGAAAGTAGGGGTGCAAACAATAACAGCTCGAACGCTAGATTGGAAGGAGGATAAGAAGCTCAGTCCGGTGATGGGAAAAATTGAAATGAGCTCGAATAAATTGCGAAAAACTTCTTAGGTGTCTCTATCGATCCTTACCTGGGATCCTTCAATAGACTCGAAATGTGAGTCACTCTCACGAATTTTGCATTGGGAATTTTGTGCTTGTACTTATCCTCCACAACTCGCAGTCTTTCTTGCGACTCTTCAACGACGTAACACACTTGAGAACGAACGCAAGACAAGAGATTCTGAGGAAGGAATAACGACGCTTTCAGCCAGTGACCTCCAATTAGACGGCCCCATGAGGACTGCGGAAGGAGCAGCAACGAGTATGAATGTCTCGGGGGCGGGAATTTTCTGTCGGAGACACGAGCGACCATACGTCGTAGAGGACCGGGAACACGAGCGTCTCCTGAGCTCATAGACTTGGAGGGGAAGCATAGCTCGCGATAGGCATCACTGGACTCCTTCCGCCAGATTCCGCAAGATAGCTTCCTTTGTGTGGAAGACCGCTCAGCGGAATATTATTTTCTCAAGTATGCCTCCAAAGGAATTGGGGCTCAATCTGGTGTCAACACCGTTTTCTCAAAGCCTTTCAGGTCGCCTCGAGCAGGTTCGTCATCGGATATTGAGAGATGGGACGGTACGAATGATCGTCTCGATAATTTTCATCCCAAGCACTTCGAGTGTTCCAAGTCGGTGACGCCCGCTACTCCTCGCCAGGAGGATATTCGAGGAGTAAACCAATCAATTGAGATATCTTCAAAAACTTCCGACAACATACTGTGTATCAACATCCTCTTCTCTATTCTGTTTGCATTTCATGCTCGGCGATGATAATGGATAAACACACGCTCTATCTTATACATTTGGTCGAAGGTCTACACGCGAGCTTAGCCAGATAATGGGAAATCGCGTACAGTTTCATGGCGCCAAGTTTTCGGCAAGCCGAGCAGGGAAGCCGAGCTCTTACGTAGACAAGGGACGAAAAGGTCAGAGTCCAATCAGGGGAGAACCAGACTCTTCCCACTTGAGTGCATTATCGAGCGTCAAATCGATGCATCACCATGAGATTACGTGACAACAAACACCGTCGCCATTAATTTCCATTATTAAGACGGAGAATGAGACTCGACTTTGAGAGGCGCTCCTGCAGCTAATACTGGTCAGAAGAGCGGCGGCCCGCTCTACTTCGGGTGTGGCTGGGACCGCCGGGTTCGTTGATACGGTATTTTGCTTCAATTTATCACTGATGAACGCTCATGGGCTAATATCGGACTACGAGAAACTGGGACAGAAGGACACACCTGGAGTTGTATGGTTCCAGCCCGGCCTAGGCCGAAGAGCGCGATTCCGACGAGCTCATCGAATTTCCCTTCCAAGGAGAAATAGTCCAAAAACCTGTAAGATACATAATTGTCCTTAGTCGGCGGTCCCGATTGCTCGCTGATGTGTTTCACACATGTCGTCCATGCGTCGTCGCCGTCAGCACTCGCGTAGCGCTCCCTCCTGCGTGGGGCGAGAAGGCTCCCGGTACGTCGATCGAGTTCCGATCGTTTGCTCGATACGCTCTCGTCCATCCTCCTTAACGCGAGCGTAGCTTCGATGGAAATCCTCGCTCATGGGACGAAGGTGAAGAATCGTTAAGGATCTCTCGGACAATGCTCTCAGGTGACTCGCTGAAACAGCATCAAATGGCTAACACTCCCTTCAAGGACAGGAATAGCCGCCAGGGGACTGGACGAGCTCCGTTGGTTCCGCTCGTCATAAGTGAGATACCGAAAAAGCTCATCATTCCGCACCGATCGAACGGAGCCGAGGAAGCTGATTTTCGGAAGGGGGATAAGCGCAGGCGACAAGGAAGTTCTGCAGAATCGCGATTCTTGTGATTGCTATTATTTATCACAGCATTCCTCTCTTTTCCCTTGCATTGGTGCCAGGCTTCGAGAGGGATGGATGCCCATACAAGAGGCGAATCGAGAGCGCTAGGCCGTCTTGCGACTTGGATCAGACGCGTTCGAGAGAGCCGATCTGCCTATGAATGGGAGCGGTGGCTTTCCGAAGCTTCGGTAGAGGCGTCTTCGGTATGTCGATAACGAGGTATAGCAGCCATAAAGCCACGAGATGAATAGCTCTGCTGAATACAAGATTGACGGAGTTGCATTTACCTCATGTACTTCAAGTCGTTCTCCATTTTTCGGGGATGCGTCGGTTGTTGTTCCACGTTCTTGATGGCACAGACCTTGATGCCGAACTACGGCTCCACTGGTCCGTTCAAAAAATGGAGAGAGGGACACCTGTGTGAGGGCTCATGGATTAAACATAATCTATGTGGAGTACAATTGATTAGCTGCCACAACGTCTTTCCGGGGCGCTATCGGAGCGAACGAAACGAGACACCCGCTCAGTTTAATCCCGATAGGGATCATCAACGGACCCTGAACCCGCGTACGAAATGTTTGGAAGCTATGAATGAGGGAGATATGGAACTGACTAAGAGATGAGCTCATGGATAGCTCATATCCCGACTCCCGGGTTTCTCGAGGGCAGAAGGACGTGATGAGTGATGACAATCGATGGTCGAAGAGTCGTCGAACTCTCGTGTGACAAGCGAATCCAAAATCACATTTATGATTCAGATGATATCTTCTCGGAGCTAATTCGAAGCTGGTGACGGCAGTAAACGGGGATTGGGACGCTTGATTTCACTTTCTCCCCACCCTCAGCGCCAGATCAAACCCTGTTGGGCATTGTCCTCGCGTTTGCTCAGTCGGTGGAGTTCGATCAGGAGTTCGCTCACACCTTCGCCAAACGAAGGTTTATCAAAAACCAATCAACGTTATCAAAGGAGCTAGCAGGTAGCGAGTCTTTGTTCTCTTCCTGCTATCGCTTCTCTCGGTTGGGTTAGGCGAAGAGAATGATTACAAGAGGCGGCTCTGTCGACAGACTTTACGAGCTCGCTTATCTCTGTGCGTCGATATTTGGTGATCGGGTCAATGAGAACGGTGCAAATGGAAGAGGAGAACACACGAGAGGAACAAGCGAGTCAGGAGTGAGGGCGGAACGGAAGCAGAGCGCTAAACGAGCGAAAATGGAGGTGCAGACTGGATTCGGTGGTCGATTAGAGTGTTTGTTTGTATTTAGTTGGGCAGTGACATCATGAGCGGCCAGCGGGAACTATTTTCATTTCTTGCTCGGGACAGTTGCTGACGAGACCCCAGAGCCCAAAAACATGCCATGTCATGGTATCGGATCAGAAGCTCTGAGATGGGACAAGCGCGAGATGGGGAGCGATGCCAGTCTGCCTTGGAAGATCGCCGTGAATACTACCTTCTCCCCCGACCCGAGTCCGCTTTCTCCTCCCTGATGCCATTCATTCACTTTCGTCAAACAAGGAACAGGCTCGAAGAGGAGAGAGCAGATTCCTTGAGCGGTTCTGGCTTCATGGAAAAAAAGGTGTCATTCGTCGACGCTCAGCGTAAGCGCGGAAGAGAACGAGAAAATCACAGCTCGCAGGACGTTCGAGATATTCCGTCCCAAGCGGGCCCGACAGCGCGCGGAGATAGCGCTAGCGATCGTGATGGACAGAGCCATCGGACCGCGGAGATGCGCTGCAACGATTCTTACCCACAGGGTCAGCCCGAGCAAATATAATAAATCGGAATCAAAAGTATACAAGGTCGGAATCAAGCAACGATCCATGCGAGGTCCACTGCTTCCGATATCAGACTGAGAGGTCTCTGTCCCGTCTTCGATAGTTGGTGCTGTCCCTCTTTCCGATAATTCTTCTATCGCGCTTGGAGAGTGAATGGATGGAGAAGAAAGACAAGGATATAATCAACAGAGTAGCCGGAGCTTTTGGGAAACGTCACGTGAGGAACTCCGCGGGATTCATTCCATTCACGGCGATCACCGGTACTCCCAACGGTATCAATGACTTGCAGATGCGCAGGAGAGGACGGCTCGATGAATTTGTTGCTTTTTGAAATTCTATGAGTTTCCTTCCCCGTTCGTATGCTCGCCGACCTCGGGGATACTCCTGGTATAAATTCGGAGGATTCCGAGTTCCGCCGTGCGCCCAAAGACTTGAGCCTGCCCCATCATTCATGTGTCCTCAAAAGCTCAACCAACTCAGTGGGGGGTCATCCACGGACAAACCGCTCGTTGAGACGGGTAGAAGACTGTCGCAAAGGAGCGCTTCTGGGGGCCGATCTCGCGCACTCTGGGAACCAATTCCGAAAAAACTCTCGATATACGGGGGACCGTGATGTTTGAGACATGAGAGGACGAGCGCATAGCTTTCCAGAACCTACTGGTGAACATAGATACATGTGGAGACAGTTCGAAGCTAGCGAAGTCAGAGGTATGAAGATACTCGAGCCGGACCGATTGTTAGCGGTAGGAGATTCCGTAGAGCGAAAGAGCTCGGAGACCTTGGTTCTATAGCAGACTCAATATTTCTGACTTACAACTTCGGAAAAACGATGATTTCGACTATCTCCGTACGAGATATGCGTTTTGAGCTCTATCAGAGTTCAACGTCTGGAGTACTTCAGTCAGGAACTTGTGCGATCGTATCGTGAGAACCCCACCCCATTATTCATTCTGTCTCCAGCTGCTCACATTGCATATTGCTCTAATTGAGCCTTCGACAGTACGTTGCAGTATATTCGGAGTCGTGTAAGTCGTCATTGTTACAATACAGACGGGGTAAATCCGAGCGTGCGTATGAACCGCATGAGAAGTCAGAAGTCTACTACAGTCCCCATTCATGCCGCGACCGAGCATTCGTCCGCTTCTCTCTGAGAAACGGAGTTTCCCGTATGGATGTGGAATCCAATATACCTCCTTTTTCGCGATAAAAGAGATTGTGAAGAATTTATTCCTACGAACGCTCCGACCGAGCATCCATTCATCGACGGGATATCTGTCAATCCCAAACCGACCACTGAGGGAATGTCCAAGACGTCTGTCCACTCAGTAGTTGAAATATGGGCTGTATGGTTTCCCCCTTTTTTGAGCTGAAGGTGATACTTTCGCATCAGTCCCGGAGATGATGCCTCGCGGTGCTTTTTGGTCGAGATATCTACAGTTCATGATACGAGACGTTTCTCTCGGATGTATAGAGGGTTTGGACGGGAGAAGCAGAAGGGACTGAAGGGAGGTAAACGGAGAAGGGAAAATCGGAGGAGGCGGGACCGGAAGGAAAGGAGAAGCAACGAGGGAAGAGGCTGAGACCAGGGAGATGAGAGAAGAGGAAGAGCTCGCGTAAAAAAAGGGGAAGACTGAAGAAGGGATGGACGCAGACGAAATCATTTCCTATCGATATATCCATGGCGCTGAGGAAGACTTTGCCCTCTGGGGAGCCCCCAGAGGGCTAAGAAGATATTCCGGCTAATGACTAATGCCAGAACTGTGCCGTGACCTCATTCAATGCCATGCGGCCCGGCAGAAGAAGCCTCTAACACCGACGCACGTCGAGGCCCGCCGCTGACATATGAGCCCGATGGGGCGATAGATCCTACGATCCACCGCATGCGGGATCGGATAATGCAGGACCAAGAGTTATCGACTCATACTCCAGTGCATTCTAAATCGTGTGCACGAGAAATCACGGATAGATCCGAATCGGCCGTTTTCTGAGCCTCCGCTGATCCTCTGGATGGAATGATTTTTACGTAGGTACAGATACTAATAAGGCGATGCAGAACATGATGCTCCAGACAATCAGGAGTACCGGGCGAACCTCCCGCGGGATGCTCTGGTAGTCATCCTTTTTGTGGACTATTGCCATAGATATGTATAACCCGAAATAAGACCAGCGCCAACTTCAAACCAAGTGAGGAGCCTAGCTTCAAGACCAATGTTTAAGCTTAATATGTAGATCACTCTGGTCTAGTCTGAGAATACTCGAATGCACGCGTTCCGTGGCAAAAGTTACATTGGCTCGGAAGGGAGGCGCCTGTGGGGACACGTCAGTTATGTGTGATGTAACGTGGCGAAGCGGCGCCCGGGACCAATCGCGAGGCTAGTTCTCTTCTAAAGAATTCCATCCCAGAATTCCATGCGGAACCCATCTAGGAACTTGCGTTTTCCGCTCGCCACCACCGAAAGAAGCGCTCCTCTCGAAGATTTTAAGCTCGAACTCCAACTATCGGGCGAAATCTCTCTGAAATCTTTGAAATCTCCCCGAAAATGACGCTTCTGAAACAGATCGGAGAAGTGGCGCCCAGAGCGGTCCGCCCACCTCCCGCAGTTACGCCAGCGGGACACGTCGAAGGACCCGGATATTACCGGACATTCCCAACCTTATCTGCTCTCGGCGAGAATGCCCTCAAATATGATACTTCCATCTCGACGCTTCTGTATAGATGGCTTCTATGAGGTCAATGCTCGAATAGCTCCACGTTGAGTGCCCACTCTATCTCTCTGAGAGGATCGACATTCTTATGATTCGGCCGTTTCTTGCCCAAAGTTTTCTGAGCGAGGCTGCTACTGTCCAACTTCTTTTATCTACGGAGGGCGAGTCGTGGAACACTAAATTTCGCGTCCTAGCATTCCGTGCGAGGTTTTTTTGCCGAGTTCCACGCTTGAATTTATGCGAGTTTCGTGGGCTCCATTACTCGACTCTAGTCCCAAAATACAGCTCAAGACTCGACATTCCGTCATTTTTCTTTCATCACTCTTTCGTGCCGGTAAACCCGTGTGTTATTGCGATAATTTCCGTGTAGCGGGACATTGCCCTGGGGCTCCGAACAATTTTTTTTTTGCGAATTGAAACGTCTTCATATACTTCCTACGGAATTCCCACACACACAGATCAACTCCTGGAGGCAAGAATGACACCCTATGCGCCCTATTCGCCCCTGCTCCTGGGAGAGGGCGATTTCGAATTTCTAGAGCGCGCATAACGGCCCAATGGCTAGCAACGCAATTCCGCATCCACCTCTTTCAAAACTCAGAAGAAGATATTTTCCACTCAGAAGAAGATATTTTCCACTCAGAAGGAGATATTTTCCACTCAGAAGAAGATATTTTCCACTCAGAAGAAGATATTTTCCACTCAGAAGAAGATATTTTCCACTCAGAAGGAGATATTTTCCACTCAGAAGGAGATATTTTCCACTCAGAAGAAGATATTTTCCCAACTCCGGTGAAGAGTTCGACTTCACCAGTGATAATGAGACCTAAAAGTACGAGCTGAGTTCGAAGATAATGACGATGCTCGAGTCTAACGAATGGCCATTCCGGAGACGTTTAACGTCCTCTACACGGTAGTGGCTCTGCTGCTACCTCGGAATTTTTGGATATCAGAGAGCTATAAGGGTCCCACGAGGGGTTCCTTGTATGGAGGGGAGATCGAAAAGGATTCCATGGGAAGGAAGTTCGGCATTCACTGCCGCACACGACACATTTTAGCTCGCAGACCGTCTCTCGGAGGAGAGCCAGCCCGCTCGCTGCCGGAGCTCCAATTTCCTTCGTTCTCCCTCCCATGCCTGCACGCAAACTCTAATGTCGATTCTCCGACTGAAGTCCCCTGACTCTCTCAAGTGAGGCTTTTCCGAAGAGTACTTTTCCCGTGTCGCCTGCGCCTCTTCCGATGGGGAAACTAGTTTTCCGGAAGTCGAACCGCTGGGACCGTTATCAAGTTGGAATCTCTAGGGAGGTCGACTCTCACGAGGATAGTCATTATCGGGAACTCGTTCGTCGACGGCTTCATCGCGAACATGGCTTATGCGGGGAGCTGCTTTTTCCCAGCTCCTCACATGTCCTCTCAGGGTCGGTGATTGGAATGACCGTCGAACTCTGGTTTTTGCTTGTCCGACGGAGTGGATTCCGTGAGGTGTGCAAGTAACCACGGAACCATCGATGACTTCGGAGATCTCAGCTTGAGAAAGCACCGCCCACCGAACTCCGCTATTGGTGTGTTGCTAGAGGGAGCAAGAGCGGCGACTCCCTAGGTTGGTGGGCTGTTACGCAGCTCATCTCTATGTCTTGGAGCTTTCTTCTCTTTGGTGGATTCTGTTTTTGCGAAGGCGGAGGGAGCTCAACGTTACGTGGTATGTGATTTTTTTTCTGAGAAGCTAGCGAGCGGTTGGCTGGAGTGCCATTCGATCTAGCATCTGCCCGTTCCCCTTCCGTTTGCCCCCATCGATTTCCGCATCGACTAGTAGCTCATGTAACCAAGTTTGGCAAAATATTTGCCATTTCCTTCCTGCTCTGAAGTGCTGCTAAAGCGCTGTGGTCAACCCCAAATTACTGCTATCGAGGTCGTCGGCCGACATAAGCACAGCGGACATACATAGTCACTCCACAGGACATGGAAAGCCTGGCCGCACCGATTGTTAGCTCGGGACTCTCCACAAGAACCAACGGGAATAGTGGCAGCGAGTTACTGAAGAAATGGCATCCGCCTTATCTCTACCAACATCATCGATCGACAGTTTCTTCCGGTGAGTCATGCTTTCTGAGTGCTTATGAGGTATGACATCGCGAGGGACACAGTGCCGCTCGCGATGAGTGATCCGAGACTTGAAGTTCTAGAGAGCCCCCGTGGGAGTCTCCCGCTACGCATTCCCAGAAGGCCTGGGTGAGTTTATCGTCAACTTACTGGAAAAGTGCTTCGGGAGCTCTAGGCTTTCGCGTTCGAGGTCTCTGCGGATCCTCTGCGTGGTGGGGACCTCGGCCCGACCGAATCCCCCCGTATCATCGACTTGGTCGACTGGTAACCCTCCGCGTTAAGTTTTCCGCTGGAGGAATGAGGATCGATATGAACGGCCTCTGGAGATCGCCGGAAGTCCTGGTGCATCCCCAACCTGCTGCGCTCTTCTAGCCTCGTAACGCCCGGATCTGACGCGAATCTTCCGCATGAGTCGGCGGCAGGATCCACTCAAAACAGAACCAGATCCCGGAGGGACTCACTCAGAGACCTTGGGATCCTCCCCTATAGTCGACCGGAACCTCCAGGTGGGGGGATCGTGACCCAGCCGAACGCGACTCTCCCAATATCGGTATCTCGGGATATCGGGATGTCATGATATGCGAGGAGCGAGTGCTCCGAGGAATCATGGGACTCCTCCATCGCCTTGTCGAAACTTTGAGCAGCGATTCGTATGGTGAGATCGCCGAGGTCAGAGATGAGGAGGCTCGATTCGCATACGGGGGCTGTTTGCGGGCCGTGTTCTGATTCTGTGGGTCTGCGGTGATCGTTGCGATGAGGTACGCGGTTCGATGCTCCGCAGTGTAGTCCGGGAAGTCTGCACCTTCTCTCTGCTGCTACCACGGTCCGCGACAGCTGGTCCGTCTACGAAATGTGCAAACGCTCGAACACGATGAGATTGGCGTCGTTCTAGTGGAATACGTGTTTCCGATTCCGTGGGACGACGCCCCAAAGTCGTTGCTCCTCTCTGTGACCTCTCGTCGAGACTCAGTTCCGTGAAATAATAGCGTTCGACCTGCGATTGGTCATGCGCAGGGGACATTCGCGAAAGACGTTCCGATGGAATCGGCGCGAGTCTATTCCCGGAGGTTCAGCGAGGGGACTTCGAGAGAAAAAGAAGAAACGAGGTTTCCGTCTCGATTTCGAGGCAAGGCGGAGATATCGTTCGAGGGATTGACATTTGCAATGCTGGTGCAGTTCACATGATCAGGATAAGAGAACTTACTCGTCAATACTCTTTTCGGTACGAGTATTCTAAGATGCTCCTTCGCGGGTCTGGTTTTCGAGGAACTTAGGATCGGGGAGAGAATATTTTCCCTCGCCGCTTACGTTGCTGAGCGTGAGAGGACCTCGAAGATATTTTCTCCCGCCGTAATCTCACACCTATCTAGATGAAATTCATCGTTCTTCTCTCACTAAGTTCAAAGTGCAGCACTTCGAGACATGATTTTTCCGGATTTTCTCGCTACATCTGAATCCCACAATGTCATGCTATCGAAATTAGCGTCCCGATCCCGCCACACAAGAAATTTATCTCCGAGGTAGAGTACCCTTCTGGTTCTTCCCGACCCAGACAAGACCGTGAGAGAGACGACCCTTCCGCTAGGATTTCAATCGGATTCCGCTAGGCTAGGATTCTAATCGGATTCCGCTAGGCTAGGATTCCAATCGGAGCTAACAGACAGAGAGACGCATACGTCCCAACGCCATGTCTCCTCTCGGGGTTTTCGACTCTTCAGCCGCCTGACGACGGATCTCCCGTTCATTCCGGCGTCGTATCACGGTCGCAGCTGGGTTCGACGCGGGTAGAGTCCACCTTACAATATTTTCTTCGGGCTGCCCTAGAACCATTCTGCGTCTGATCTCCCGGAGAGTGAGTCTTCTCACAATCTCTGAGAGAACATATCTGACGTCTCCACTGGAAGGGCTATGTTTACCTCGACAAGGCAAATTTTCCACTGAATCGCATTCGGTATACCTCTGGATTCGAAACTCCCAAAGCTCCCCCATGATGGGCATCCCTCGCCGATCCTATAAGATGACCGGGAGGAATGCCGCCCTAGCCCGCTCCTACGCGCAATGGATGGAGCAGGTCTTCCCTTCAGTGGATTCGGAATCCACGCGCTGGCTCACCCTCACCTAGGTTCCAGCTTTTCTGTCACAATTTTTCTTGTCGGGCTGAGCGAGAAAAGATAATCGTCTCTTCCATAGAGCTCATGTGACGGAAGGAAGCATAATGCCCTCACCGAGACGAGGGTTCCAATCGAAGTTTCCGAAAATCTGCGGGAGGGCGGAACCTCTCAAAGTCCTGTGGGCAGGGGCGTTCCCAGGATTTTTTTTTGGGGGGGGG